GTGAAAAAAATATCATAGATAATAACATGCCCTATGTGTATCTTATCTTTAGTTGCTCAAAATCAAGCGAATGATCATGTGTTTTAATTAACCACTTTTGAGTAATCATGGTTAAAGACAGAGGTGGCTTGAAAAAACATCTCTAGAGGTGGTTACTATTTGGAATGTTGCTGGAAGGGTTAAATGTATATCAACAAAAAATGACGACTTGAGGAAACATTTTCTCAAAGATATATTGATTATCCGGCCTAGAAATGAATTAATGGCAGAAAGCTGTTTCTCTCATTAAAACATGAATACAATAGTGAAATTGAAATTGAAGACCACCACGAAACAAAACATGGTCGCTGATTATTACCTTAAACTTAAGTTTTGTGATACAGGTAAGAAGTTTGCACTAAAGTATTGTTACGTCTCCGTTTGTTAATTAACTTTCCGTAACTTCGTTCCGACGAAACTTTAACGACACAAGTCCTTACTTAATAAAACTGGTTTATTCTTTCCGAATAGAACTTTACGATACACTTAATTTCAATATTCGCGCTAAAACAAACACTATAACGAACGAACGTTAACTTCAACAATACCCTGTGACTGCAGTTCAATTACTCACTACCTACACACACATTACTCTCTTCCGTCACGTTGTCACCCTCTTTTATATACCAGACTACCCCATATCTAGTAAATACTAGAGCATTTGCCAAGGTACAGGATAGTTTCAGAAACGTGGCGTCACAGTAGTCATGTGGCTCGCTGACGCAACAGTATCATGATAAAATGTTATGTGAGAAAGAAATTATAAAAATTAACCTTATTCAGAACACCTAATATGATTTTTTGTTTAAAATAAGATTTTTATTTTTGAATTAAGATTAAGATTAAATAATACGATAAAGCTTTATATCTTACAATGCTTACAAATATTTTCATTTGTACTCAAATTTTTAATTCTGTTTTAACTTCATTTCAATATGTACAAATTACGTAACACTTATTATTTGAGGTTAATATGGACATATCTAGTTTCAGGCTAAATTATTTTGGGTCTCTGATGTCAAGTTCAATTTACCAACACACAATTAGATTGTGACTTACTAACTTTTCAAATATAAGAATCCGACTAAATAAATCTAGTCAAAAATACCTTAGGTGTGAAAACAAAGGTGTGGCCAAAAAACAAAAAGGACTGAGCGTGTGACTTAAAGGAATGAAATCAAAATCACATAATCACCACATTTTTAGTAAAAACTATGCAGAAAAATGAAATGTTATCGCGAACAAAAGTACGTGTGAACTCTGAAAGAGACTTAAAAAACACTCTTGAACCTTTTCACTGTATTATAGGTCAGGAAGTAGAAAACATAATGTAGACATTCCAGCACAAATTTTGAACTCTTTCCACTGTAAAAATGATAAGAGATATTTGGTAATAATAAACGTTTATTTTTCTTTATGTTTTAAGGCCAGGTAGGTAATATATGTGTTAAAATACCAAAATCATATTTATTAATTAACATGTATTCACCACTTAAAACTTTATAAACACTAATTCTATAACGTTAGTAACACTAGGTCTATTTTAAACATTAGGCCTAATACGTAAACGTAACGTAAGGCTTAGCTGAAACATTACTTGATAAATTTTATTTTTCTTTTAGCCACAACTCAATGTCATAAACACCGTAACTGGCATAAGAGCCTACAGGTGATACTTTTGTTGCTAAGCGACGATGTATATTATTGAGTATTACAAAAAAAAAAAAAGAGTGTGAAAGCGACAGAGTGACAAAGGGACTTTTACAGATAGTGATATGAAATAATCACAAGAATCCAATATTATGATTTTTAATATAGAAGACAAATATGTCTGACAAATCGCAATATTTTAACCACTTGACCTAAGGTTTGAAGAAGAAAAGAAAATTTTGCACGCGTTCTACAGAATTTATTTCTTCTTAATGTACGAATGTATTTGCGTTTTGAAAAATGGAATAGGGTGACACTTAAACGCACACATAGTGATCAATCGGAATTTCGCTAAGTCTTTTTCGTCATACCTAATGAAAACTCTTTTGGATTTAATAGTGAGAATATAGATCGAACTGATGGGTTTGGTGATTCGCTGCTGGTGAGAAACATGTATTGTCATACAGAAAAATAGATACAGTAAACTTTGTAAAATGCTACTTTTTCGCTCTTTTTAATAAAATCGCTGTTATGTAATCAAGTTTCACATACGTTTTTGTTATAAAAACTGGAAATAACTAAAGATTTCCAACTCTTTGCCAGAGAACACGATCATCATTTGTAATATAAACAACCTTTATGGCAATAATGCGCATACATATGACGTAGGCGAAATATTCGTCCTAATTCTAACCTTCTCGTAAGTTACACGTGATATTTAGGTAGGGTTTAAACGTCGGCGTTTGGCATTATCATAACTTTTCAGGTATTATTCTGCATATATAAATAGCGTTTCATACAATATTTTGATTTTCATCGTACAGTCAAACTGATGAGTTTTAGTATTGAACGAAAGGTTTTTGGGGCAGCGACTTGTGGGAAACAAAAGATCGATTAACCACAGGGTTGCCGGTTCTGTTCAAAACTGCGGAATTGGGCTTGTCCATTTCCGATGTCGCTTGTAATTTTGTTTAGTCGTTTATAATGTTCGGGTTCCTCATCATCGAATTAGTCGTTTATATATATAATAGGCTTTTTTTAGTCCTAGCCGTTTATGATAAAAGTTAAAACATGTCAAAAGTGCACGGCTAGTTAAATATTCTTTATTCGGCTAAGCAAAACCTAAACACGTTTTAACTTTATGATCCTGATTGTACTTTATTCCCATTCCTGGCCCTGGTGGGTCAGCGGTAACTTTAAGAGCTTATAATGCGAAATTCTTCGCGGTGAGCAGAGCGCGTAAATTCTATTATGTATTGTTACGTCTCCGTTTGTTAATTGATTTTCCGTAACTTCGTTGCGACGAAACTTAAGCGACACAAGTTCTTTCTTAATAAAAACTGGTTTATTCTTTCCGAATACAACTTTACCGATACACTCAACCCCAACAATCGCGCTAAACAAACGCTATAACAACGAACGTCAATAATACTTCTGACTGCAGTTCAATTACTCACTATCTATCCATACATTACCTTCCCCTCTTTTATATACCAGTCTACCCTCCATCTAGTAATTACTAGAGCATTCGCCAAGATACGGGATAGTTCTAGAAACTTGGCGTCACTGTAGTCATGTGACTCGCTGACGCAACAGTATTTTGAGTTGAAGCAACAAACGAACGAATTCCCATCCTATCGCTTTGATTTGCACAACAAATTGATTGACTCTATACTAACCAATGAGCTGAGACCAATCAGGTAAGTAGGTACTCGGAATAAGAGTTGTATCATGACCAACACTCAATTTGCGAATTCGACGAATCTGCCTAGTGACAATAAATTGGCAGTGGCCTGGGCAGAAATTCGAGAGAAATTTTGGTATTACGTTTTACTTAGAGGAATTCACTGTGTGAAGACCTGTAAGCTCAACCACCATTGTATTTGTCATAACTCAGCCGGCCGAATGAGTCTTGGTATAGTGAGAAAGGTGTTATCAGCACTGTTATAGCAGATATTATGTTGTTAACATATTATATACATTATTCTTTACTTTCACACATAAGTTCTCATAATTTGTTTATACCTATCACATAAACATCACATCATCGAGTAATGAAATATAAGATACAAGAATACAATTTTTTTTCAACAATGATTAGTTTTCAGGGAGGCTTCTCACTTAAAATATAATTTAAGTATAATTGTAGATTTAAGGTTCTGTTGCGTCAGCGAGTCACATGACCACTGTGGCGAAAGTACAGGATAATTCTAGAAAGTAGAGGGGGCGAATGTTCTACTTCTTACTAGATGTAGGGTAGGCTGGTATATATAAGAGGGGACAACGTGACGCGGTAATGTGTGTGGAGACAGTGTGTAATTGATCTGCAGTCAGAAGTATTATTGACGTTCATTGATATAGCGTTTGTTTTAGCGCGATTGTTGAAGTTGAGTGTATCGGTAAAGTTATATTCGGAAAGAATAAACCAGTTTTATTAAGTAAAGACTTGTGTCGCTCAAAATTTCGTCGGAACGAAGTTACGGAAAATCAATTAACAAACGGAGACGTAACAGTTCTTTTTGTGTATTTTTAATGGTTTGCTCAATAACTTCTTTGTCTTACTCTGTTCTTTTATTGAGTATTTTACAAATATTAGAATAATTATATTATTTAGAATTATTCATAGTTTAGTACCAAGTGACTGAATTAAGGTAATTTAATGTTCATGTGACGAGAAATGAAACATGGTGAAGGTTGGACTTATTTTCAGTCTGGATTGCTTATTTTCTAACCGAAATTTGTTTGTTTGTTCGTTTGAACTTAAGCACAAAGCTACACAATGGGCTATCTGTGTTCTGCCCACCACGGGTATCGAAATCCGGTTTCTAGCGTTGTAAGTCCGCAGTCATACCGCTGTGCTACTGGGGGCTCTGACCGAAATCTGGCAACCCTTATCTGAAATGTTATTTATTACACATCTCTGAACCACAGTGGATAAATTAAGAGGGTTGTGGAAAACAACATCGACAGTTAACCTATTTTTATAACAAGATATTTAGGTAATATTACTGCTATTATTTTATTATTGTAGCAGTTTAGTAGTGCGTGTTTCATTTAGTGAAGTTAATTTTGTTTGTGTGCTTGTTTTCATTAAAAAGTACTATCGCCTATAATAGTTTTAACTTCAGTCTTTCAGTTTGAACTGCCACACTGGCATTGTTATTGTTAGTTACCAAGTTAATGTTAACTTTGAATTTGACATATGAGTCATGTGATCTAAGATATCTCAAACATGGTTTCTTACTGCATCCGAGAATGATAGTTACGAGGTTCGACGAAAAAAGCCCGAGCGATGTAGCGGTAAGACGAGCCTTATCTCCAGTTCGCTGAGGTAGTATTAAATAACCACTGAACTTTATAATGCGTTAACCTGAATAATTCGATCGTTCTCCGATCGCTACAAGTCGGAAAGCATACACTGTGAAAAACCGCTGACTTGTATTTTAGAGATCAGTGGTGAAAACGCGTCAAACCGGAATAAGTAGCCTTAATGCTTTGTGGGAGAAACCGCGGGAAGACGTGTCTAGATTTGTGTCTTTCCATTTCTTGTTGGTAAGACTATGAAAGTATCTTTGTTGTCTGATATAGATTTAATAGCCACTGTCTGCTTATCTTGGAAGTTAAACCAATATTTATTTTCTATAACTTGAAAGACTCGTCAACATGGACAATCCTTTTTTAAAGATTTATACATAAAATTGACACCGATGTTGTAATTGCGCAAACTCTTGCTTTACGTTTTTCATTGGTCACCTGTCACATAGGGTAATGAAGCGTTTTTTTCTCTGATCTATTTTTCTTTTTTTTATTAGATGTATTTAAGCTCTCGCAAAATAATCGTAATGAGATAGAGAGCGCCGAGTTATTAACATAGTATATACTTATATGTGTAAACCTGATGTTTAGTTAATCGTATATATTTATTCAAAACTTAAATATTTGTTTTATTTTTATCACACCAAATAAGTATGTCTTTAAAAACCTATGTTCGTTTTTGCTTTTATATTATGCTCCTCCCCATGTTACTATTTATATTTGTATAAATTGATCTTAAGATATTTATACCAAACCGGAAATACGGGATTTTAAGTTTCTAAGCTATAATGTATATACTAGGTCAGCCAATGTTGAGAGCTTATTGTGTTGTGGAATGAGTTTGAACTGTTGATTAGTTCTTACGACAAGTTAAGTAGTTTTTTAATTTAATACTTGCATATTGTATAAAGTTGAGGAGCTAATAATTTTTAGAAAGAACTTTCCAAACTATGTTATTTATTTACTTACGGATGAACTAGTAAAACGTGTTTAAAAACAGAAATAAAGAAAAAAGAGATTTTAAAACACATTTACTTGTTCTTCCGTAAATAAATGACTTAGGTGGTTATAACATCATTATACGAGGTAATTGTATAAATTATAATGCTATGTAAGAGTAAAATAATTAGATTAAGAAGGGTATTTGACTTATAAAACACATGCTTGTCTTTATAGGATCTAAAATAAAAGTAGTCTCCGTTGAAGTTTCATATTCACCAAGTTTGACTTAAGTTTTATTTGTCAACTATTAATATTATTGTTAACGAAAATAATCTACGATGTTGTATCAAGTACATAATAGTACACATTAATTATTACTTATTAACTTCTTTGAAATTTAACCCGTGAGTTTAACCTGATTTTTATTCCACCATATATGATATAGTGTATAGCTCTTGTGATATTGTATCTTACCAATTAGTCTGAACTGCCACAACTGTACAGTATAGCATAATTGATATTTTATTGGTAATTAATATTGGAATTTGGCTGAATTGTCATGTAATCTCATGCTTGAAATTTAAATTTACAGGCTACAGTCTTACACAAATCCATAGCATGGAACTGAGAATGATTTTGAGACTGGACTGATTCAGCTATTTAGTGCAACTATAAATTAGACATACTTAGAAAGCTTAATATCATGGAATCTTTCAAAGATGCATTTTGGGTAAGTGACATAAACTGAAATCAATAGTAATATAGATGTTATTAGTTTACTTTCAATTTGACTTATCCAGGCATTATGTCATATGCCTAACATTTCAACATTTGTTAGGAGGGGGGAGTGATGAGTGATCTCCATCACTATAGCTACACTCATTCACTGCCAAAAAATGTTAAACTTTAAGTACATTCTTTTGTAAGTTGTAAGGCATCAGCAAATTATTGGTGTTATCACAAGAAATGTTTATTGCATGTGACTTGAAATATTTTAAAATAGAACTCTAAAGAGATTTTCAAGTAACTGTAATAGAGGAAATAAATCACTATATGTACCCAATTTACAAAGAAGTTAGGAGTGTCTTATATAGTTGGTTTCATTAGTTAATTTTTAAGCTACTTTTTAGTACTGATATGTATATATCTTTGAACTTATTTTTGAAGGTCTTATTAGCTATGGGATATTTTAAATTTATACAAATTGGTAGAATAAATTGGACTTCTTTTTGCTGTAACATTCAGGATTAGGAGTTATTTGCTTTAGACTTGGTACTGGTAGAGCATCAGCTTTGAAACACTAGTGTAAGCTAGATGATCTTTGCTTAAGTCCATTTTTTGGCAGATTTGTTAACATAGTGAATTCCAGATGACTTTTTGAGCTAAATCAAACTGCTTGTTTACATGCCTGTCTTGGTGATTGGCCTTGTGTACACATATGTGATCATGTTGTCACTTGAAAAATACTTGGATGGTGTTTTCTTGATGGACCAAACATGGTATGTTGTATTGTTTGACTTTAAGTGTGGGGATTATTGTAATGGTAAAGATAAGAAGTGATCTGTTTGGGACTTGTACTACTGTAGTTCGGATGATGGGGTATTGTTCTCAAAACACTATTGTAAGCTAAGGATACTGGGTGAAAATTCCAGTCATGACAGATTTCTTAAGATCCTCATTTTTTTATTTTGAAGCTATAGTATTTTTTGTAAAATAATACTGTATTTGTATTTAATGTCTTTTTACAAATTTTAAACTTGCATCTACACATTCTTCTATCTTCAGAATACAGTATGAAGAAATTAACTCTTTTATTCTGTCAATCACAAAATGATCATGTAAACTTCAATATTTTTATTTTTAGCACTAAAGATGACAGGGATAGATATTTTGTGCAAGATAGATCATTTAACTACTAGTGATCCTAGGATTACTGTCTTTGTTTTATCTTAAGATCAGATGTAAATTATAAAATGGTTTTGCCCTTGATTATAAGAAAGCTGACTTTAAAAAAATTATCAGAAATTATGAAAAAGACTGAAAGTCTGATGTAAAAGAAAATTTTACTGAAGTTTGATAAATTCTTACAAGTTCAACCAAACCATTTACAAAATGAATTCCTTACAGAAACTTTTGCCCAATCAAAAGCACATTTTGAAAGGATGAATAGAGCAGTTATTAGATAAAATTCCTACAAAAGTGTGAATTTATTAGTGAAGAAAGTTATTGTAATATGTCAAAGAAAGATTATGAAAGTGTCTTAGTTTAAAATATCAAATTTGAATTGAAGGTGTTTTAAATACAGTATGCTTGCAAATATTTTGAAGAAGGATATTATTAATGATATTATTTGGACCTTTAGCATATCATACAGTTAACAGGTGACTATTTGGTCTTTCAGGGCTTTCCTTGCACACCCATCCTTGAGAAAAGTAATATTTAACAACTTATTTTTAACAACTCTAACATCTAACAAGCATCTTTATTTAACTGAGTATCTCTGTTCATCAGAATTATTTCCTATCTCATCTCCTCAGAATTAGCCTTCCCAAAATTTGGAACCAAAATATTATTATTCATTATCTCAAACCTAATTGTACAATGGTTATTTGTACCTAGATGCTTCCTCGCTTCCATCTCCTTGGCTATATCCACATTGGATATAAATCTAGGCATCCTCATTAATACTTTCCCTACATTTGATGAAGAAAACCATTTTGAACAGTTTCCAAGAGCCTTTCAACCTCAGTGTTTGACACTAAAGTATCCCAATCAGTATGCCTAGAAATATATTTCCCCATGATAAAAACCTCATTAGATGTTACCTTCTTGATCTCATTACAAAATTTTTCATTCATTTCACAAATCTGATCAAGTGCCTGGTCTGTAAAAGATTCCAATTAAAAGTTTTCACCACTATATCCACTAACAGAGACCAATACTGATTCAATGTCCTTGTTATCATTTTTAATATCCTCCATTTGAACAGGCAGTTCATGTGTCGCATATAAAACCACACATCCTCCTCTTTTTCTTTATATTCTATTAAAAACCTGTAACTTTGTATTTCAAATAAATATAATCAACTTTCTTTAAGTTCCTATTCCAGACTGTCTAAATCCAATGTTCCTTATTCATTACATTTACCCAGAGCATCTAGGGCTACTCGTGTGTCTGTTTATTCTCATTAGAACATAGGTTAGGCTGTAACCTCTAGATATCACCCCAGTGACCATTGAAGGACACTGCTATCACATCCTTGTTCAACATGCAGTATTGCAGCAGAACAGCTATTAATCATTTGAGAAAAACAAATGAACAAAGGTGAATAGAACAAACTCAGTGTAACTGTTTTTATCTCAACTATGTATTATGTGAAATTTGCACATGTAATAGAATAAGTTCAAAATAAATATTGTAATACTACAAGAAGACAGAAATGCATGGTATATCCCTATACCACACATAGACAGGTGGAAATCCCATCAGTAGCATGATTGAAGAAAATGATTTTGGCATACAGATAGATATATGGTATATTCAGGTAAAAACTGAGGTAACCTTACAGTTATGTGTTAGGTCCACTTAATATCAGGAGATTGGGTCAAGATACCAATTATGAAGTAATGCTGAATCCCTTAGTCATGATATTGAATGAAATAACAAGACTGAACACAAAGTAAGATATGAAATGAACAATCTTTATTATAACAGATGTGAAATACAAACAGAGCTTGTGTACTTCCTTTTACTAAACAACAGATTGTTACTTGTACAGTCTCTTCATTCAAGTTGCTTATTCTTCAAGATCATGTACAAGACTGACTATATCCAATGGTCTTAGGTTGGCAAAAAACATCACATTTATCTAGAGTGACTAGCATTATCCATGCTATTGGTCATTCTCATTTCAACATAGATGAGCCTGTAACCTTGAAATATCACCTGAATGACCATTAAAGGACAGTGCTATTGACATCTTGCACAACATGCTGTACTGCAGCGGTATTTCCCTGGGTAGAACAGGTATTATCTACTAGATAATAACAAGGGAATAAAGGCTACTAAAACAAAATCAACTTAATGACTTTCCCAACCACTTGTCATATAAAACCTGCTCTCATGCAGAATAAATGATAATTTCATGATATGTTTATGTACCACATGTCCCTCCAGCCATCAAAGCAGTGCTTTGTCACTACTAGCTTATAGTAAAGCTAGTAGAATTTTAAGATGTATTTATATAAATGCTGATTATAAGTTAAAAAAGGGTAATTATTTATTTATACCAATTACTAGTTAGGTATTATTTAGAATATTGTGTATAGTTTTGGTCTCCATATCTAAGAAAGGGTATTGAATTAATTGGAAATTGTTCATAGGAGGGCTACTGAGATGATCGAAGGATGTAAGGTTATCTTACAATATTAGGATAGGTTAAATTCTCTTTTCTTATTTTCTCTTCCTTTTGCTGAAGCTTACAAATTATCTGGGGGATTGATAGGATAATGGCCTCTGATTTCTTTGTGCTGAATTCGGAAGACAGTAATTAGACAAGTTTAAGATTTGAAAAGGACAGATTAGTCTCCAGTTAAGGTAGTTTTATTTTTCTAACAAGTGTGATTAACTTATTTTCATGGAATGAGTTGCCATCAGTAGTAGTATGGAACTAGCACCTTGCAAGAGTTTAAGAAAGTAATCAATGATTTTCTGAAAAATAAAGGATGGGTTTCAATTTTTGCTTTTCTCAAGGTTGGATGTGTATAGACCACCTTGAAGGATCAAATAATTTCATATTGTCTGTATTTTATGTTAAAACAGGTTGTAACATATCAAATAATGATTTTACTACCAAGGTATGAAAAAAATGTGAAATTCATTAAACATATTACAAGCTTGTTGCGAGGAGAGGAAATCCACTATACACTTTAAATAAAAGTCTAGAGATACAGTTTTTGAGTGAATTGTATATTTTAATTTTTTGTTTAACTTTATTATAACTTTTTGACTATTGTATGACCATCATCAGGTAACCATCCTTATCACAAGGTTAGTAGAGCTGGGCAATTGAATAGATATTGCCTATGAACAGTGATTGCATCGATTAGTGGCATGTAAAGTAATCAATTAATTGAAACTACGATTAAGTTGATTACCCAAAATTATTGTTTTTGATTATTTCTGTTTTAAGTTATTTCAGCAGTTGATTAATCAAAATTATGATTTCTGATTATTACTATTTTCAGTTACTCCAACAATCCAAGTAATCAAAACAGTGCTATTATGTTTGTTGTTGTTGTTAAGTACAAAGCTAAAATAATAGGCTATCTGTGCCTTACCCAACTTTAACCTTACAAGTTGTTTTTTTTTACTTCACAATTGTTTAGCTTTGGTAGTTTGAGGGAGATGGTGGTGCTCGTGATTTGAGGGTCTCAAGGTTAGTTTCTATTGCCACCAAACGTACTTGCCACTGTCACTAATTTTGAGCAGCTGACTAGAGGGAAGGCAACTGGCTGGCAGCACCTCCAATCAACATTTTTTTTTACTTGAATTGCTAAATAGAGAGTGAGCATCTGTCTGGCATCACCCACTGCCAACTGATTTTTGATTTTCTAAGGAACACTGTGCTAATCAATTAATGGGGCCGTAAGTTAATCATTTAGTAAATACAGGGCCATAAGAAGACGTAAGGCCAGTCAGGCCATGGCCTGACCACTTTTTCTTGGCTACAACATATGTAATAAAACTTGCTTCTCTTAATTCAATACGTTATGTTGTGTGTATGCAGTATTTATAGTTAAAATGGCTCATGATTCAATCTCATAGCATTAAATTTTCAAAATTTTTTAGGGGAACATCCCCCCAGACCACCCCTAGAAATGGTATGCTTTGCATGCCAGTAGTGTGCTTTGCTTACATCGTGTGCCACATTGTCTTGCTGTGCAAATGGCCGACCACTTAAAAATTACTTCTTACAGCAAATAAATACCACTAATTTCCTGGCTGTAAAGGTTAGTCACTTCCATCCATTGAATAATAAATAGAATCTGAATGCTTCTACAAACAAATTAGCAAAAGCTGTTCAAATACACCTGTTACACTATTGTACATGTAGTTTCCATCAAAATTACTAGTCATTCTGTTGGAAGATTAAATGTGGATAGTCATTAATTTTTTTATTTTTTGCAAACATTACTGAAAGATATGAAGGAAAGTAAAAATATTTGAAAATTGATGAAAAAATCAGCTTTGGTGACATTTTTTCAAGCTGTTTTATTGAAATTATATTTGACAGTAAGATACCTTTGTATTTAAATGCAAATCAGTGTTCTGTTCATCAAATTTTATAAAATAAAAAGTGAAAAACAACTTGTGTGTCTTAATGATCTAATGCTGATCTAATTTACTAAACAATTGGTCATCACAATGCATACAAATTCCAGCATGCATCAATTTGCTTTAGAATTGAAAAAAAGAAAAAACTCTAGTAGTATAGGATAGGCAGAGGTTCATATGTAAACATACATAATTTTTCATATCTGCCTTTTACAAGACTCAGTTTTTATATCATTGGTTAGTAATTTGCCCCAGTGGAAACTAACTTATATGAGTCTTACCTCAATATTTCATGAAATGGCCAACAGTTTGTACTTAACTGCATGGTCTAATCATTGCAATTATAAACACTTTTTATGCAGCATCTGTCTAAATATGTCATAAAAATGATCAGTTTGTATATTAATTGGTCTGTAATTTTAATCATTGGAACATGAGTTAGAGTGGTTAAAGTTCAATGTTTAGTGACCATACTAATAGTAAATAATATGAATATTTAGTGCCCCAAAATGACCTAGAATCAGAGAGCATGTAGAAAAGTTTCAACTAGCACATATTTTACAGCTGGCATGCATACTGTAAAATGTTTGCAGATAAATTATATTTCTAAATTTAGCATACTGTAATATGTTAGGATGTTAAGAGATCTGGCTTGGATCCTTGGATATCATGGTGTTCTGAGATTGATGCTCTTTGCCAATGAGACTGAAAACCCAATAAGGTAACTCCCATTCTGGCTGCACAATGTATATGTACGTACACATACATACTATATTGAGTGCATATAATATATAATCAGTTAGACTGTAATAGCATAATACAGATATGGTGGACTCAAATATTTTTGGCTTTTGATATTATTGAAATTGCATATAATGAGTATAGTGTAACTGAATTTTTAGACCTCTGTTTAAATGTGCAAAAACTAATAATTAAGTAGTTTATTAACTCTGTTTCAGTGTGATGAGATTTAGCATGGTAAATAGTCACTGAAAGTTTTAAATATCTTTGGCTAACAAGCTACTGTAATTTTTTATTCAGCGTATAAATTGTACATTTACAAAGAAACTATGTTTCAGTAATAATGTTTAGTTGATTTAAATGTCAGGATACTAACTTGTATTGGCAGAAACTTAAGAAGTGTTAAAATACCTGAATGAAAAAAATAAATTTCTTACCAGTTTAGATAATAATATTTAGGAGCTTATTAAGAAATATATTGATTTCTAGGGACCTAATGGATTTGAGGAATTGAGGAAGTTGATGAAACAAGGAGAAGATTTTTGTAAAGAAATTGCATCTGTTATGAATGAAAGGTGACTTTTTTATAGAAATAGTAAAATAGGAAAATTTTATTAAATCTAATTATTAAAATATATATGTAATAAACATATATTTAGTGTTATAAGCATATTTGTAAACACACTTATTTGTATGATATGATATTCTGAGTAATTTTAAACTCATGTGCAAAAATACAATCTAACAGAAATGTTGTCATATAAACAGTATGAATCCAAAGTTTTTAAGTTACCAAAAATATATTAATACAGTGTGAAGTACACAAACAAAAAGTTAGGATAAGGCAGAAAAGTGATGAGTAGGAAATGCTGGTCCTAAAACAAAGTATAGCTGTAAAGATGTAGATATGATATCTTTGCAGATTAACAGTACCATATCTTCCTGGAAGTTGGATCTATTATTACTTGTTGTGAATCATTCATGTTTCAAGAGGACAGATAATTCAAGTCTAACTACTACTTAACATGGGGATAAAAGAGAAACAGATTATTGCAAGACTAGTATGTGTATCATTGTTTGGATCTAAACCAATATTTGGTTACTTTTATGGAAACTCAAACATATTAGTTGATATTAGTGTTACATTATTTCAGATGAGGAGAATAGGCCATACAGTTAATATAGATATTAGCACTGTAGTATTTTTGACCAAATCACTATACCAACCTGATAAATGATCTTCAAAATGCAATATATTAAATAAAACTCAGAATCTAAACAAAAACAAGTGAAGTGTTTGTATATGTATTATCTAGTGGACTTTTTTTTTTCTGCTGTGTTCATGTAAGTTTGCATTGCACTAGGTAATTCTATTTTATATTTAGTGCTTTTGTAAGTTTTTAGTCAAACATTTTTAAGTAGAAGACAACAGACAAAATGATTTAAACAATTATTATTTCAGTCTTTGACTTTACCTGAAGGGTCCTAACAGTCACACTGTAGGACTAATTTTAACTTTACTGTACATTTAACTCTCATGTAGCCTTAATAACGACTTGATACTCCAAGAGGAAAAACATTTAAAGTTTAGAAAACAGAATCAAAGCATACTTCTGACTTCATAGCAGCCTTCCAAATCACTACAGTTTTGAAAAGCCAGTTTTCGGACCTGGATAGCCTTCACACTTTTGAAGCGTGTTTGAACCTTTATGGTTTAGCATCCAGCAATCAGTGATCAAGAAAACCATTACAATACAAAGTTTTTTACGTTACTTATTTATGAAATTTGAAGTGCTTGTTAATCAGTAACTTGTTTTTTTCCTGCTAAATATGTGTAATATCTTTTTTAAACTAGTAAGGAGGGAAGCAATAAATTTATACATCCTTCAGCATCCTAGTCAGCATCCTATGACCTGACCCTGTCTTAGTAAATTAGTAAATAAATATATGTATACTTATACATAAATATTTGCAAGTGTTTCTTGGAAAAACCCAATAGATTTCTGACTGATTTTGTTGTGTTCAAATTACACTTTAAAAAAATTCCATAAAATAGATAGTTTAAAGGTTAACTCATAAGCTAAATAGATATGTTAACATTATAAAATAACAATTATTGCTTTCCCAGGTGAAGTACTCATGTTGTATACATAATTTATGTTATATGGCACTAAAACCTTCAACAAGTCAGTCAAAAAATTCCAAGTAATTAGCCACTATATTTACTTTCAATTGACTGTACAGAGAAACTACTGTTGCTTAGTTAATGATTATGTATGAGCTTCTAATTGACATTGTATTGTTTTGACTGTGTTCTCACTATTAAGATCAAAAGCATATAATTAATAAAAAAAAAGTGTTTTGATAATACATGTATACCTTGTAAATGAGCTGCATAGTCATGTGTGAGGTATATGTATATACATGTATAAATACTTAGTGTAATCGATCTCATTAGTACATGAAGTTGAAGTATTTTACTGAAGATATAAACTTCGTGGTTGCTGTAAAATAGAACTTTTAAGAGTATTTCTTTATCTTCATATTTTTTTCTCGCATTATCAGTTTCATAAAATGAGAGAATCACTTTTAGCTTTTCTTTTGCAAAATGTACAGAATAAAACTATAGCTGTGAAATAACTAAGTTTTATTTTTGTAATTACAACATAAATTACTCTATTGCACTTCAAGTTAATACCTAAATTGATGTTAAGAGAGCACAAGGACTAATTGGTTTGTATCCTTTGATACAAAGGTGAAAAATGAACACAATTCTAGGTATACAGAAAACAGCTACCAAGTAATAAAATTCTTGTAAAGTAATGAAATTTATGAATGTGAAATGTGATATAAGAATGTTTATGTTGCTAATACTTATATAAAAAAATAAAGTGTTTATCATAGATAATCTGAACTCCAATTTATATGGAAAAAAGGAACTCTTACCATAAAACTGTAGACACTGTTTTATATTGTGTAAAAATAGTCATGAACTATAGAATAAATATATACATGTATGTATTGTACACCATCTTTACTTGATGCTGTTACTTTACTGTGTAAAAGGGTTAAATGCATGTCCAGTTATGCTTCTGACATACCACACTTGATTATTTGTGAAAACAAACATGAAAAGTACTGTTTGTATGCTGGTTTAGCACAGCTTTCTGAACGTAAACAATATTGTGGTACTTGTAAAGGTAGCTGTGCATGTATATAGGACACTGGCTGGTTGGCATTACCTCCAGCTAAACTAGTGAGTTGTTAGCTTGATGTGATGCATGCAATAACAATGAGGAAAGTTAAACTGTTTTTTTTTTGTTTTCTTATAATATCCAAGAAATAAAGCCTTGAGAAATGGAGCAACAATTTTCTTAAACACTTGTTCAGCAACTCTTACTTTACAATCAAAATAAGTTCTTGTGTAACAATTAACTTCTAAGGTACTTAATCATTATTGTATGCAGTTTTGGTTATTGAGTCCATTTAATGTTGATAGTACTTATAGAAGCTGTAATATATCTAGTGTGATTGTATTGTTCTGCTTATATTTTAGATCATTTAATGGTTGTATCATCATAAGTTAACTATTTAGCTAGATTGTATACTATCTTTGTATTTTTAGATACTTCCGTTAAACTTTTAAGCACACACATAACCACCAATGCTATAGTGTTGTTGTAAACTGTTATACTATATTAGTGTTGAGAGTCTAGTGCAGGAGACAAATAACATGCAGAAGTTTTATGTGTATGACACTTTATGTTCAGGATGGTAAAAAAGAAGACTGTGTATTACTGTTTTTTTATGTAGTGGTAGTAATAATATAACAAGTAATTAACAATATTTTTATTGACATTCTATATATAGGTTAACATAAACTAGAAACTTTCAAAACAGAAAATTTTGAACAGTCTTGAATGAAATGGTGGAAGACAGTTCCTTTTAGTTTCTGTGGCTGTGTTTTAAACAGGTTTAAGAACAAATTCTTAAACTGTAAAACATAAGGTTGTTATCCTACATACAGAACCTGTTCCTAGACTGGATAAATGTTGCAGATAGTTATCTGTATGTGTGAGACACATGTACCAGTAGCAGTACATAGAGTTGAACCTAAGTTACGATTGTTTTTATTCAAACACTTATGTAGGCAATCTGAATAATTGGTAGACATCAACATTTAATTATATACATATATATATGTTATTTTACTAGATGTTATTAGCAATGTAATGAGAGGTAAGTTTTTCTGAGTGCAAATTACTTGTAGGATATCATTAAATCTACAAGTTAGAAGCTTCACATGTTCATGCACGTATAACAAATGTGCATGTTTATCATTAGTAAAGTCATTTATGGGTGAACTCGCTGCAACATCTTGTTAAATTACTTTAGTTTTCATAGTTTACTTTTGTACAAAAACTTTAAAGTACTGAAACTTGCACATGTATTATATATTTCATCTTTTGAGAAACTAGTAATTTAGACACACATGTTATTTGAAAAAATTAACTAATCTGAAGTATATGTTGCTATAACTAACAAGAATGCAGACATGTTTAAGACACATCTTCCTCTGTAAATAAGGGCAGTATGTCTTGTTTTTTATATCTAAGGAGTATAGTAAATAATAAGCTAAGCACAATGAAGTAATTAATAAAACTCAATACTTTGATGTGGTGTGACTTCAAGAGTATACTTTTATTTACTACTTTACATGAAATTTTCACCCATAAATCACATAACAAATACATGTACAATGAAAATAGTGTGCAATGTATTGTCATTGCAATCAGTTTATTTTGTATATAGTAGTTGATGAAGTAATGTATATGTATATGTATTTTAATAAGGGCTGTATGGAATTGGAATTATTTAACTTTGTCATTTTTTATCTCAAAATGAAAAGACATCACATAGGGTGTTGCATTCAATATATCTTAATTTCAAAGTTCATCACATATAACTTTGAAAAAAATCACATTTATAGGCTACCACTCAATTATCTTATCATTAATTGTATAGAAAAAAATCCCAAGCCCAAAGGCTTATAACACCTTTGTTTTCATGTATGCATAATTAAATATTTCACCCTTGACACAACAAGAAATACTTGTTTTCTGAACAATATAATTTCCAACTATTAATTGCATTTTGGATATATTTTGTTTTGTTATCAAACTAAGTTAAAACTAATTAAAGGGCTTATACTGAAAGATTAATAGATGTAAAAAATACTTAACTTCACATATAGAGGGTATATAAACCCAAACAACTTCAGAGATAGGCGATACATAAAACTGAATTCCTGAGGTGAGGGTAGATGGAGGTAAAAAATAAGCACCTCCCTATGTAGGGGGTCATTTCTAAAAATGTGGAACAAGCATATAAGGAGTGAATAGTTTGGTGTGCATATACACTATGTGACTTTCATTTTGCTGTTTCTCTTAAGGATGGTTTGAATGGATAATGCTTCCAGACAACTGGAAATGTATAAAGCAGCTGTATGCAGTTGAATTTGTAAACCATTCTTGCATTTTACTAAATTGGTATAAGAAATCTTGTGGAATGATGGAGGAAGTGCATTGTACTTAATCAGGACTGTATTAAAAAGTTGTGTTTGGCTGTCCACATTATTAACATCATTAGTGTATCTTTGTTATTTGTAATCTAATGGTTGGACTATAGAAATTAAAAATCCTGTTTTTGATTTTCAATATCAGTTGCAAATGTTTTTTCATTGTATCCAACCTCTATGTCTTAATGTTTTTTATAAGATTGTTATATATTGCTACAAACTATTTAAGTAAATTTATATGTATGTGAATTGGTGTCATTTTAGAATGATTGTTATTTCATTACTTATATTACCCTTTTGTGGGAATTATCTGCTGATAATCTAAGAGTGAGAATACTTGTTTAATGTTATAAATTTTTGTTTACTTCTATACATTTCTTTGGAAATTTACTTATTAAAACACTACTTTGTACTGAAAAGAGAGAATTCACTTATTCTCTTAATCAGTATTATGTATGTTAAACAAATGCATGTTGATTACTTGCTGTTTATGAAAATAGTTTTGAAAATAAGTTATGTGTGTGCCACGAAAAATTAGCTAATATAAAATATACTGCATAAAATTAGATAAAATAAAATCATCCAAAGTACCCATGTAGGCCAGTTATATTGAGACATTTTAGATACCAAATTAAAATTCCATTAAAAGTTAGCTATGTAACTATTACCATGAAGTTTCTTATTTCTTTTAACCAGCATTAACTTTTTTCCAAAAGGAAATAGGAAAGCTGGAAATATAACTTAGTATCTTTACATGCAGGTAGCCAACAAACTGTTTCTTGGTAGTGTAATATATATGCATTCCATGCATTTTCTACCTTTTTGTTTTAATATTGTATTATTAACATTTATCAATTATTTTGTGTAGATGCAGATTTCACATAACAAGAAAGTCATAAACTTGCTTTCTAACTGCCTTTGTTTTTGAAATAACTTGTCTGCCAAGTTATGTATTGTCTGCCAATGTAATGCTGCACATTGTGCAAAGATGTAAACAGCAGTCGTTCAGTGGTAGGTTACAACCTGCCTAAATTTTGAATGAGATTTAATGACCAGTCATGTGGGTAGCATAACTGCTCTGGATATGTGTGATTTTGCCTTTGAATTAAGTGAAGTTTGGTTTAAACAGTCTGGTAGATGATCAGGTAGAAGTTGTTTCTGATTTAGTCAAAGCAACATTCTATCATCAAACAAGCAAGTAACAACACTGTGTTTATGTGAATAATAAAGATGTTTATTTGTTTTCTACATTGAATCCAGTCTCTTTATTTCCTCCTCATAAACTAAGTTAGTAAGGGAACTGAAAATTACTCTGTGATAATTTGATAAATATCTTGGCAAATCTTCATTTATTCAGCAGACTTATTCCATTGCTGTGAGGAAAACAACTTATGCAAAGTTGTGTTTGCACACTGTATTTTAAAGGAAAATTTGGCTTAGCATTTAAAATTTTATTCTCTGGATCAGTATTAGATTAGTAATGAGTAAATCTAGAGATTTTGGTCCTTATTTCAAGGATACACATTCCAATGCACATACTTATAGAGGATATTATATTAAGCCTTTGTTAAAATATCTATATATATATATAAATCAATAGTCCTACAGCTATCAAATACAATTAATTGTAAATAGGTGATTTTTTAATGAGTACTACGAAACAATAATGATAAAATTAATATAAATCAACAACATTACAAAGAGATTCAAAAATCAAAATTAAATTTTCAATTACCAGTCCTTGTCATCATTAAAACTCTGAACAAGTATTGTCTATGGCCATAATAATAATAATTATAGTAATTAAACTTATAAATAGTTAATAATCGACATAAATAATAATAATAAAGTTGTTATTATCATTATATATTATGCATTGGGGGATATTCCATTTATTAGACAAGATCCATGCACCAATGTCAGACTAGCCAGCGACAAGGGAAGATCAGTTAAGGGTTAGGAGTTGAGTATTTGAACCCACAATGTCTCAACTTGTACTGCCTTTCACTGTTTGTAGCCAGTTGTGGGAAGGCAGTTACCCTTAATATTTAGTAGAAATAAACCACCCTAAGTTTCTATAATTAAAACTTCCAATATCTACCCTTTTATGAGGTGTACAAAAAAGAAAAAAATATTATCATAATAGAAATGGACCATCCTATATTTCTATAAGACTCTCAGTCTCCACCCTTTTATTTAATAATTACAAAATGATATTAAGTAGAACTAAAACTCTTACTTTAATAGTTTTTAATTCCCCATCCTCCTCCCTTTCTCTTGAAAATTTGTTCAAGTATAAACCAGATGAGCTGAGACAAGCCCAGTTACCTGAAGCTGGTCTTTCTACCCCAGTATACTGAACAAGATACCAAAATATTTTAAAGTTAGTAGTTAGTTACTTATAAGCCAAGGATGACCTTGAGCAACTAATGACCTTTATGGTAGTTTCCGTAATCGAGAGTTTATTTTCTAATATAAGTTCATATTTATTATAAAAGAGAGATAAACGTTTTTTTTATATGCCAATCCTTATAACAATTATCTTTCAATTTATTTATGAATAATTGAACATCCATAAAAGAATTACTATTGTTGAAAATATTTTTAATTGAAAGCTAATAATTCCTTGGAGTAGTATAGATGGAGCAACAATGTTTGGAGTGGGTAGACCAAGGATAGGAAAATCAAATTCCTTTCTTTTATCAAAAACAGTCAACTGTACTCTGCTTTCTACAAAATTAATGTCTAAGTCCAAGTGATGTGTTTTAGAAGAGTAAAAAATCAACTTGTGCAAATATGGGCATGCATTAAATGTTACTTGATTGAAATATGTATTCTTGCTTTACAGAAAATGGATATAGAATAAGTTGTTTTGAGATATTGTTGACTTATAACAAATGTTGTTAACAATGAAACCACAAACTGTTAAACAGTTCTTTTTTCTTTTTTTTCCACTTTTGTAGGTGTGAATTAGAGTACCACTATGCCAAAAATCTAGGAAAACTTGCTAGCAAGGTTGCTAAAGCTTCCAAAGAAGCATTTGGGTAGGTTTGCTTTACTTAGAGAATCAGTCATGCACCTGAATAATTAGTTAGCAATATATATTTGAATCACAAATAATTCTGTATTTTATCAGTATTTAGTATTTTATTACATCTTCTGTTTCTTTAATTTGAGGAAGGGTTGAAACTGAAGCATTGACTGACTCCATTTGATAGCCACCTATGGTTTTAATTAACTTTTTTTTGGTAAATGTTTATTGACAAACCATAAATTAAATTCTAATGGTATCTTTGTACATACTTTTAACTGGTTTCTGCTACTACGTTAACACTTAAAATGTAGTTATTTAATCATTAATTGAGAAGTGAAAAATTTCTAGATGCACTTATTTACTCTAAGCTATAATTTCATAATTTGATTAAAAAATTCCATAATAATACTAAAAGATTATAGCACGTTAAAGAAATACTTGGAATAAAAATATAAAACTTGTTTCAAAACTGAGGTTCTAGAAAAGAAAATTGTGTATTCAAAATGCTAGTGTTTGGGCACACATTTTAATAAAATATCCATAGTTTTTTGTTTAAATATACATGAAAAATACCTTAGGACATTTTATTTTCATTTTTTGAACTGTGCAATTTCATACACATCTTGCTGTAATATAACATAACATAAATTTAAGGACAACAAGGAACCTGTTGGTCTGCCTAGGCCATCTCATTCACTAAAATAAACTTTAAAATAGAAATAAAACACTCAAAACCAGCTCTTATCATTCAAATGTTCATCAAGCCTTCCTTTAAACTCCCTTAAATTTACTGCATACAGCATATTTGAAGACAACCCATTTCAAAGGCCAACCACCTTGGTAGAAAAATAATCTTAGCTGAAGATTACTCCTATCCTGCCAAAATTTATATTTGTGTCTCCTAGTCCTACCATTCTTGCTATTAAGTACAAAAAAGATGATGCATCAACACTGCCAAGTTCATTAATAATATTCAACACCTCAATCAAATCCTCTTTGCCTCTTTTTTTTTCTTATGAGAAAAGAATTTCAGAGATCTTAAATTGGCCTTGTATGACAACCTTTCCACCCTTGGTTCATCCCAGTAGCCCTCCTCAGAATCCTTTCCACTAATTCATCTAAAAGGCCATAATGGAAAAGTAATTTGGACTTACTCATTATTTATTTCTGTATTATTTAACAGTTGCAAACACTATGGATTAAAAATATTTTATTTATTACTAATAAAAACTTACTGTTAAGACAAAAAATATGATGTTTTTAAGTGTAAATCTTAAGAATTACAATAATGGAAAAAATATGTTTGTATTTTTTCATTATTATACTAAATTATAAACTACTATACAGTCAGAAATTAAAATTTGGTTTCTTTTTATTTTACAAATAGTATGTAGCAATATTAGACATTGAACAATTGTTATCTGAATTTGTTTTTTTGATCATATGGACTCTAGTTATTGAACACTTTTCCCATGCAGCAGACTGAATCTATAATGCATTCAGCAATGAATAAAGAAATGCAAGAACTGTAAATAAATGCAACCTCTAAAACCCATCATTCAATTGATTAAATTTCTTTATCTGTTTTGCAGTATTTTGTTTTTATTAATTTACTGGAGTATTTAATCCATGAAATATGTCAGTGCAATGTAGTTTTATTAAAAGATCAGCTGTAGCTGAGTGAAATAGGTTATGATTTATTTGATTTGTATACACACTTTAAGTTTTTCTATGATTTGGTTAGTTATATCTATAACTTTTGTAGGACAACAGCACAAACATGGCTAGGAGTTGCTGTTGCCATGGAGCACGAAGCAGAACTCCACAAGTATGTAATTTTTTCTTTTTGTTAATGACATTCCTTTTTTTTTCACAAAGTTATTGTACATTGATATTTTTTTATTTGGATGTTTTACTGAGAAATCCATAAGTTATCCTAATTACAATAATTTTTGTAATTGGTATTCCAAACAATACTGATAGATATAGATATGAAGCATATACATGTGTGGAATTTGCTATAAAGATTTTTTTATTTTTTCTATAAACTTATTTTGTGAGTTTCTATACTTTTATATGGTAAATATATTCTATTGAATATTACTAAATGTTTTTTGTGTTACAATTTTTTCTCACACTTAACTATGATTGAACTGTTTTTATAGCTTCATTCCCTTGGGAAAAACTTTTACAATAACTGGACAATAGGAGGACAATTTCACATGTAGTAATGAAAATAAAGAATAAGTTAGAATGTAAATTTAGCTCATAAAATTGTAACACTGTATGTAATGCAGTTTCTAATGATGTAATGAATATTACATAGTATAGATTTCAGCAGACTAAAGTTGGAGCAATCAGAAAATTCTAAGAATATTCCTTTTGCATACCTAGGCAAGAAGTAGTATTAAGAACTATCTAAATATCATTATTTTGTTTATTAATAAGTATTATATTCTTCTAAGTTGTGGAAAATATATAAATTTGTCTGTTATTTTGTAACAATCTAAACTTCATTTACTTTTGTTTGTATTTGGTCAGTAATTTTTCTTTTATTTGTTATAATGTTCTGTTAAAGTGTAAGTGCATTGAAATGTTGATTATTATGTCTGGTTTTTTATACATATATAATTTCATCATTGTAAAGTGGATATTGTTCATAGTTTTAAAGTTCCTGTAAACCAAATTTTACATTAGCTTTTGTTTTCAGGTATTTGTCATCTGGATTTCAGGAAGATGTTGTTAAACCATTGAAAGTTTCAATTGAAAGTCAACATAAAACAAGAAAGCAGGTAAAAAGTATCGTTCCGATATGATCACTCAACTCCATACACAGATTAGCTATTTTCCTCTTACCTTAAAGTCGTGCTTTCTGCCTGAAAAACTTGCATGCCACAATCCTTGTGAAAATATTCCATCTAAAATCAGTGATAGCCATCATCTAATGTGTAGTGAGGTCCATGTTCCTGCCTGAATTTTTTTCTTCCATCTCTGTCACACATTTCTCTTCATAGAATTTTGAAGCTAAAGTTGAGGAGGATGAAATGGAGTGACTTTTTTTACCCAATACTTCTCTACCTAATGAATATCTTTTGACTTTTCTTGCCTGCCTCACATATACCTTTTATCTGTTGGTTCCCTTTCTTCTCCCTGACCAGTTTGTTTCACACCCAAGATTTCCTTTGGGTTTAAATTTGCTTCTGTTGTTTTATACCTTGTTTTTACAGCCTCACCAGGTAACACTAGAAATTACTGTTTAGATATAGTTTATTTTTCCTTAACACTTAACTCGTAGGATTTGACATTTAGACTTTGTTTATTATTCCTTAGCATGTCTACATACAATATATCGCTTGGATCTAATTCATTACTCCTTCACTTGTACCACATTGAATATAGTGTTCAGCTGTAGTTACTTACTCCTTAACATATACCATATAGTATATTATGTCTCATCTTAGTTAATCACTCCTTTGCCTATACACTTAGAAGTTGAGGAGTGGTTGTATTTATTTATACCTTACCATGTAAACATAGACGTTAATGTTTCGTTACATTTAGTTGCTCTTTAAAATTTCGTTCTGTCTGGTGGATTACTCCTTAACATGTCCACATAGAAGGTAATGCGTACATCGAGTTCATTACTTCTTCACATGTACATATGGAAAATAATGCTTAGTTTTAGTTGATTATACCTTGTCTTTTACACATAATGGTTGATGTTTGATTACAGTTCCTTAATCTTTAACAACTCCACCTAAAAGATAATGTTTAGCTCTTGTTCATTACACATGTACATGGAAGATAATGCTTAGTTTTGATTAATTATTCCTTGAAATGTACACATTCTTGTTAATGTTTAGTTTTAGTTTTTAACATGTCCACATAAAATATAATGTTTTGATATAATTCATTACTCCTTCACATGCAACTCATTGAAGATAATGTTTAGAGATAGTTAAATTCTCCATTACCTATACTAGTAGAAGGTAATAATTAGACATAGTTGATTACTCCTTAATATGTTCATATTGATGATAACCTTTGGACATATTTAATCACTGCTTCCAATGTACACATAGAAGATTATGTTAGAAGTAGTTAACAACTCCTTATCATGTCCCACTTAGAATATCATGTTTAGTCATGGTTCATTGCTCCTTTTTGTATACACATAAGAGTTGATGTCTAGAAATAGGTGCTCATTCTTTAACATGTACACTTAGATGTTAATGTTTAGTTCTCGTTTATTACTCCTTGACATATAACACACAGAATACGTTGCTTTGTAATAGTTCCTTACTTCTCATGTCACTTAGGAAGTAATCTTTCATCATAGTTAATTACTCTTTAGCATGTACACGGTAGATAATGCTTTGATCTAATTCATTCCTTCTGTGCATGTATATTTAGGTGCTCATGTTTATTTCTATTTCATTACTCCTTAACATGTACACATGAGAGATGCTATTTTGATATTGTTTCTTCTTCCTTAACTTGCAAAACTTTGACTATGTTGCAAACTTCGTTCATTACTCCCTAAAATGTCCACTTAATGATTAATGTTTTGTTATAGTTCCATTACTTTACTCTTTCATATGTACACATGGAAGATAATATTTAGTTCTCCTCCTTCTTGACATTACACACATGGATGATGATAATATTACATTATAGTTCATTACTTCTTAGCATGTACATGCTGTATAGAATGCTTTGTCCTAGTTCATTACTCATTCCCATGTCCACACAGGCTATAATGATTAGATCTGGTTCATTAATTCTTCACGTACCATTAGAAGATAAGGTTTGGACATAATCGTTTACTCCATACCATGTTAAACATAGTCAGTGTTTAGTTATGGCTATTTAAACTGTCACATTTACTCATAGTAGTTATTGTTTCATCCTTTTTCCTTGCTCTTTAACATGTACATATAGAAGGTAATGTTCAAACATAGTTCTGGGGCTATTTCATATGGGTGAGTTTCATAACCTGTCTTGTTCTGGAGACACTGCACATCATCATAGGCTGTCTTTTCAACATGACCACATTCTATCCGTGGTTTGGTTATTCACCCTCTCATCTTCCGTTGTCCTACTTTCAAATTATTCCTCATCCTCTTGGTGTCTTGCCACACCCCTCATTGCTAACTTCCTCTCTTCTGGTCTCCTGTGCTTCATTGCTCAGCCCTGGCTGTCTATGCCCTCAGATTGGACCAGTTCCATCTTTTTACTTATGCAGGTCCTTCTCTTCTCAGGTTCTTGCTTTGTTTTGGGACAATCCTTATGAGATCCCTTTTGTGGCCCCCCTCACAGGCAATCCCAACCTTGTTACTATTGCTCCATCATCTTATGTCTCAGCTCTGACTTCCCTTTCCCAACTTCCATCCCTTTTGTTCCACCCTCACATGCACATTTCTCTTTCCTAGGAATATGACATCCCCTTCTATTTGTGTGTGGATTTGTCTAGTCCACCTCCCTGGTAATATTGCTGTCCCTTTCTTTCATCCTGTAACCCTTCTATCACTTCTGCATACCATTGTATGGGGCATTCTTCTCACCTTGGTTCTTGACTTCATTGCATTGTAACATATTCCTTTCTTTCACAGGATGGCTCCTCTGTAAACTGTATATCTCTCTTCTATCTCAGGTTTTCAGGCAGCCCTTCCTCCATCTTCTGCCTTTACCAATGTTACAAAATAATTTCTTCTCTGCTTTTCTACCCTTTTCTCTGCTGTTCATTCCTTTCTATCCACTGCCCACCTTCCTACTTCTTGCCTGGCAGGATTATCACAGTAGTTCTCTTCTCCAGGTTCCTATAAAACCTCTAGCAGATGTTTCTGCTCTCCCTAGACACATTAGTCCTATTCCCACTTGCTGTTGATTGTGGTGGTTCATATATCTTTGCTCTTGTTTCCTCCCACTTTCTCCTTACTGCACTTCCCTCCTGGTTAGTCTTTCTTTCCCTCGTATTCCATGGCTAGGGATGTTGGTCCCCCCTTTCTCCCATATTCTCTCCTTCTATTTCTCTTTTTGGTGTTAATTTTGATCTGGACGAATGCTCTTTTCCTGTTTGGGTCACTCATTATTTTGTCACACTCTTCCTTCTTGTGATTCCCATCACTGTTATTTTGTACCTGGGATCTTGTCCCTACCTAGAGGCCCCTACCTGGGGCCTCTATCCTTACCCTATTATAGGTTGGATCTGCCAGCTCATAAGTTTTGTATATGCCTCTCTAAAGGTGGATGATTGTATACTCTCTTGAGTCTTCTGTCTTCAGTTTTCTACTCCCAATTTCTCTCACTCTTCTCTCTTCTCTGGGCTGGCATGTGGACTACCCCACAATCATTCATCTTACATTAAACTATCTCCACCATCTAGCTGTCTCATCTCCAGTATCATACAGATTTCTGTCAATGGCCATTCCTCATTTGACCCTGTACCTGTAATGGGTGAGGGTATTCATTTACTTATTCCTTCCTCACCTTTCTTCTACATTTGAATCCCACTAAGCAGCTAGTGTTGCTTCATAGGGTATACTTATCCAAAATTCTGCATCAGATCAGGATAACAGAAAGCACTAAGACCATCAGTACTTCCCAATCAGTGCCCATTGTGAGATGGTGTTCTGCAAATCCAACTGAGTTTTACTCAAGATGCTTATATAACTTGTCCAGTCCAATCCAGACTGTATCCATTCCATGGACTGTCATGGAAAAGGCCAGCACCAGAGTTGTGGATCTGCCCACTTTTCTGGCTAGTGCTTGCTGGCTTTTAAAAAGATAGGGTGTTGTGGGTACCCATTGCACTGTCTCCAGTAAAAGATCTTTCTGGACTGAAGGACTGATGGGAATCTGGGTGCATTCTTTGGGTCCCTCCTATGCAAATTCCTCCCCCCCCCCTCCTCCAAGTGGAGCATGGGAGACCCTTGCCACCTACCAGCTCCCAGCTGCGGACCATGGAGAATCCTCACTGATTGGGACCTAACAGCTGATGCTAAAACAAGGGGTCTCTCTACACTGGATTGTGAGGCAGAGGGGTTTCTTAAATGTAGCATGGATCACCCCAATCTTTCTTTGATACAAATTTGATGACGAGGAACCCACTTTGAGACTAATAATGGTTGGAGACAGCTTGAATGGGTAATGAAGAAAAACTTTAATACAAGTTTAACATAACAGCAAATGTCAACGTTTCGACAAGATTTAGTCATCATCAGGTACAAAACCTTGTTGAAACGTTGTACATTTGCTGTTATGTTAAACTTGT